TGAGAATCCGATTGGCAGTATGATCTAATAAACTTTGAAGTTCGACTTCGGCGGATGATTCTGTAACAGTAATATCTGAAGGATAACAGTGTTTTTTAGATTCCACGACACTTTGGTAAGATGGGAAAATGGTTTTTGAAAACTTATTGTCTATAAATTTCTTTACTAATATATATTGATGTCGAGTTAACTGAGCTTCAACAATGAGCGATAAAACTTCGCTAGAATCGATTTCAGGACAAGACAAGCTATCGGACGCATTGAGCAATGACTGTACAAGAGAAGGGTCTTGGTTAGACAAACTAGCCAATCTTCTCCTTTTTGTACGTTTACTGGTGTCGTCAAAGTTAATTCTCGGACGGCCATGCGATGAAGAAGTTGATGGTTTAACTTCGTCAAAGCTCTGAGATACACGTAACTCAGTTCGCTGTACATCAATATTTTCAACGACATGCAGCCAATCTGAATATTTTTCTAAGAATTTAGATCTAGTACGATTCGACTTTGCCCAGTAGTGGGAAATTCGTTTACAAATATTCTTAATTTTAAGGCTTAAAGTCTCTAAATCAATATTTTCGATGTCGTCAGAAAGGGATGATGTTTCGGTCAAAGTGCTCAGGACGTGTTGCATTTTTTCATTTGGATTACCCACTTTAGAGTGCCAAATATCAAAAATTGTCATCCTCGATACAGAACATTTGAAAAAAGTAGTATATTATTAGGGCATCTGGATACAAGGAGTTATCCAGACGCCCTAATAATATCTATTCAAGAAGTCATTACATCTATTCAAGAAGTCGTATTGCATGTATTCAAAGTGATCACTTATTTAACATCTATTCAAGAAGTCATTACATCTATTCAGATAGAGGTTGGAGTTATCCAGACACCCCAATAACATCTATTCAAGAAGTCATTACATATATTCAAGAAGTCGTATTGCATGTATTCAAAGTGTTCACTTATTTAACATCTATTCAAGAAGCCATTACATCTATTCAGATAGAGGTTGGAATAAAAAATAATAAGATCTTAAATTTATTAAGAAGTCCGTATATTCAGAATTCATGAACTCTTATATCGAGAAATTAAAACAAAACAGCATTAATGGATTCACATAGTTTATTTACAAAAAATATTATTTTCTATACACCACTTATTCAAATAGGATACATTTTTAAAAGCACATATATTAGTATGGTATATACAATTTTGAATATCCGACGACATTGAATATTTATCACTTAATGTTTCTAAATTAGGACAGTTTACGTTTTCTAGATTATGTACATTATCACTTTCTATTATCTTCTTCAACCACCGTACTTTTTCAAATCCTTTTGCATAAACACGTTTATTTTTACAGAAATCTAACATCAAACTCTTATAATTACAATAAGGCACATATCCTTCATTCCATAATATTCCTCTGTTTTTTTCTATCCATGAAACTTGTATACGTTCCTTCTTTGTTAGGTTATAAAATCGGTATGGTGGTTTAATCAACAACACAAGCATACTCTTGTTACAAATAATTGCGATTTCTTTCGGTATAAATTGATTGTTTTCGTTTTTAAAACCTTGAATATCCATAACCACGTTCATGATATTTTTCGAACAATGTTACTCAGTGGTCTATACTCAATAAGACGATCGTTTATGATCAGACAGTAGCCAGTTGTATTTTCAGGTATATCTTTTGAAGATTCGATCTCTAAACGAACGTCAACGGGTCCTGTTTTCAGTGAATCATTTTGTCTTGAACAGTCAATAACGAACAGTGGAGCTTTTTCCTCAAATGCTTTCAAATCAAGCAAGGGATCGATGCTCGTGTTGTAATACGACTGACGAAAGTTAGCATACATTTCGTATAATATACTATATTTGTCTTCATCAAATTTCAAATTAAGTGAATCATAAGGAAAGTACTGTGAATTTAAAAACAACTTGACATTTGTTATATTACAATGATCAAAAACAGATGGACTCTTCGATTTGTTCAGTTTTCTGTTAGTTTGTAAACCAAATATAACATATCTTGGTTTTTCTAACTGAGAAGCAGTTTTCACTGACCACGAGTGTTTTGTTGTCTTAGGTAAAAGAGGATATTCATATAAATCCCAATTCCGGAAAGCTAGTTGTATGGGTCTATCTTTTTCTAAATGCTTAAGTAATAATAATCTGTTACGGTCTGAAACTCTAACATGCGGTACACGCCATTGAACTTTTTGTATGTCTATTGCCACGTTATCTTTGCTATCAAGTATAACACTATTTAAAACTGTATTACTTCGATGAAGTATAAGTTCATGTCTACAATTGGCGACAATTTTCTTATAATCTTCTGCAAATCCTAATACTTTATTTAGTGGTATAATAACAGAGAAATGACCATCTTTTCGAGTGGACCCATTTAAATTCCAGCCCCACAGTGCTGCACTTCTACTTTCTCCTTCATTCATTGAGATGAGAGATTTAATGGTTGTTGTGATTCCCGTATTTTTAACATGATCTATTTCAACACCATTTAGTTCGTATTTTATGTATTGAAATAAAAATAATATCGGATTATTTATAAATTTAATCTCTTTTGGTGTTTTTTTTCCTGCTGCATCTTGTTCAAATACACTTGCACACCCCTCAATGTAAATGGAGCTTGCGGATGGTAATATATAAACATCTTGCTGATGAATAGGTATTCTAATTTCATCGTTTTCTTTATAGCTATGATTGTAGGGATTATAGCTGTGGATTTCATAGCTTTCAATGGAATTATCTTGCTGTGGTGGGTCCGATATTTGCAACATGTTTATTTTTTATTATTTATTTCTAAACCAAGAGAAAGAAGAAAGTTTTTATTACTTTTAGTAATTTTCTTTGTTGTGCCTAATCGTCTTCTCCCTTTGAACACTGGAAGCTGAATATTGAACTTTTGTTCATTCAATAAGGTTTTATTGTAAACATACATATTGATTTAATATTATAAAATATAAGATAATGTTTTATGATGACTACTATAATAAACATATACTTAGCACCCAATTCTGAACAATGTTCGTGTAGGAATGTGCTCCACTGGTTTAACATTTCATTTTATTTATTTATTGTCTTTGTAGTTGAATCATAAATATTTAGTTTTCCAAAATGATGTCAGAAATTTTAAACACAAATGCCCGCAGTTGTATAGATGATTTCCTTGTAAATTATCATAATTATATTGAATACGTGGTCCCACATATGCTATAAACTCTTTCGGTGGTTTTAAGTTACCGTAACTATCGAAATATTCGATATAATCTTTAAATTTTCCATAAGCTACCCAATGAGTTCCAGAATTTCTAGAAGAATCTAAATTAATCACACCACATTCCATTAACCATGGCACCTTCGGCAATTCGTCTCTCATAAATACACCACGAAAGTGAGGAATATTTTTTGTGTGCTTTATAATATCTATATTAGTTAAAGCTCTATTGGGTAGCCCAGTATCTAGTTTTTTTTTATTTGAAACATAAATTCCTAAACCACTTTTGTACGGCTTCAGATGTAATCCTTTTCCAATACACATCGCTTTCATTTTTATATTATGCCTCTTCAATTCTGATAGTTGTTTTTTGGCTGACTTATAATTATTTACAGCTTTGGTGATTCCATCAACACCCCCCGCTAAACTTCCTGTAGCAGATAATCCGGCAAAAATAGGAACTAATGGTAGAAATCCACCGGTTTTAGGTACAGGTATCACTCTCGGTAACGGTACGGGTAAGTCAGAAGCCAATTCTTGAGCAGCTGCATATGCTAATTCTATTAACATTTTCTTGCATTTTGGTTTTAGTTTGCGGATATGTTTTTTAGTATGCGAAATAATATTGCTCAATATCGTTTTTGTCATACCCGCTCCAGTTTTCTGAGCGGTTGCTAATTTGTCTTTTCTCTTCTGATTCGCGTTATCGGAATTATCATTTAAGTTTTTCATTTTCAATAATATTGTTTGCGAATACTTTATTCAAAGCGGTCTTTGTTATGTTAAGATCTCAATACAAATGATTACACGAAATTTGAATAGCATATTTATATACACTATATTTTACAATTACAAACGATTTGATTTATCAATCCAACTGTTTTCACTTAACGGAAGACCTAACCACTTAACATATACTTTGTTTCCTTTGCGTTTCAAAACTTTTTCAACAAGATATATCTCAGGGTGTACAGTTTTCTGAATTTCTTCACTATAGAACGCCCCTAAAATTGGTCTTGATTTTGAATCTTCTAGCAAATATGTAGGGGGACTGGTTTGTTGGATTTTTGTAATCTTGAATATTTCTGTAGACCAATTAGGTGTAAACCCCTTTTCAAAAAATCCTTTGTATTTACTGATTCTTACGAAATCTCCAACTTGAAATCTTTTTCTAGTCAATACTTTTTTACATTGTGTATTGTTAATGTATCTCTGTAATACAGTTCCTTTATTACTGTGATTAATTGTAGCTGGTGCTTTTCCGACTGTTCTGTGATAAGCGTGATTGTATTCGTAAACTTTTTTGTCGAGGGTTCCATCATTCCAATTATAATTTCCTTTTAAACTAAACTCCTTGTACAAGCTTGTCTTGAGAGTTCTTATAAGTCTTTCTACGATTGAGGCTTTTTTCGTAGAATATGTAGAATAATGGTTAATATTATACTGTTTGATAACTTTTTTAAATAAATTATTATAAAATTCTTTTCCCATATCAGTTTGTAAATTTTTTGGGTAACGCCCCCTTGCTAATAATGTTTGAAACTCTTTAGACACGTTTTCTTTAGTTTTTCGTTTGAGGGGAAATGTCCAAGCATACTTTGAGAAACAATCGATAATCACCAATATGTATTTGTATCCAGCATTAAATTTGGATAAAACTTGCATATCTATCAAATCTGCTTGCCAAAGGTCATCTATATCCCTTAACAATACACTTCTCCGGGGAAAATTCACTCTAGCATTCTTATGAATTTCATTAACGACGTCGGCTTTGCTCATAATGCTTGTTCAATTTTCCTTCGAGTCCCTTCAAAGCAATGTCTTTTTCAATATCTTTTATACGATCAACTAAGATCAAAATTAACTTTTCAATATGTACTAAATTGTCAGAATTCTTCTTAACAATTTTATCAACATAGTCTTTACTAACAATATCGGGTAATTCAGCTTTATCTGAAGATGAGATTTTAATTACTTCTACTTTAAAATTATCTACGCCAGTATCATTTTTTTTCTCGAGATTCATGTCTTATATTCATTAGAATACTTAGGGTAATGATGATACTAAAATAGATTTTATTCTTTTATTATACCGGCTTCCTTTAATTCTTCAATAATTGATACAATTTCATTTTCATGATTGTTGTTACCAGCGCTTTTAGATGCAATTAAAAGTTTCAGTCTTTCAATCAACTCATTTGGATCATCCCAATAAATATAATCTGTGTTACTTTTATATTGTTTTAGTTCAGGCAAGTATCCTCCGCTTTTTAATTGTGGTAACTTTTTGACTAAATCTGTATTGCGTTCATTTAGTTGAGAAAATAAAGGCTTGATGATTGTGCAGTATTTTTTAATCCTTTATCACCTTTTAATTTTCCGTTCGGGTCAAAATCACGTTTGTGTGCGTTAGTGTTAATTAACATTTCTTTGTATTCACTTTTGTCTTTTTCGGTCACAATCGTAAGATCAGGTTTATTACGCATTAGAAGTTCCTTTAAACCAGCGGTTAATTCATACTTCTTGTCATTGATGGTAATTATGTACCTTTTTTCCGCATGAGAAGCATCAGGTATATAAGATAAACTAACAGCACTATTTCCCATCATAAGCTTTTTATTTTTGGTTTGAATGCCAAATGGTACATTAAAATGTTCATACATATCCATCATGTCTTCTTTCTTTAGAGATAAAAGAGTGTCGTTACCATTACTTTCGTTTAATAAACGTTTACTGGCATCGTTAGCATATTCATAATATTCGGAATGGTCACTAGAATCTGCGTTGATTATGTCTTTGAAATTTTCATAATCTGTAGAAGAGTTCAAGTCCTCACTACCACCAGTTTCATCTATTTTGGTTGACATGGTGAAAGTGGGGATAGACTTTTTATTTTTGAGCAATGTTTCTAGAGGTTCTGTAATAGATTTAAAGACGTTTTTGTATTTCAGATTAGCTTCATCTTCATCACATTGAATCATTTTTATTTTATTCTTTATATTGTCCACCGATTTAACGAGTTGCTCTTTTAAATCTATTTCCATTGTACGGATTATTGATAAATCTACCAATTTAAACGAACACTCGACTGCAAGTGCGGTATTTAGACAACAAATTGCTTTATATGAGGATTTTATAAGTAAATAAACGTGTCAAATCCTTGTCTATACCTTCCCATATTCATTGCACAATCTTTATTTATTAATAAAAAGCTAAATTGATCTTGCCATATAACAACACAAAGCCGCTTAAATGTAGACCAATCTAAGTCTGTATTTACATGCTCGTTGTATATATGTCTTAAATTAATATCATCTTGTTTGAAAATAATCAACACATTGACATTGTCCCTGAGCAATTGTTTAGGTATTTTTGAATAAGTTTGAGATAAATAAAAACAGTCTATCTGTCTGTGTCTCCCCATAGCAAAATAATTACGAATATTCATTTGGTTTTCACAAGCGACATCATCAAAAATCATAATTGAATTTGTCAAAGCATCGTTGGGATGAAGAACTTCCTTGTTCTCGTTAAATATAAATAGTTCTGCCCCTGGAACACCTTCCATAACTTGTCTTAAAAAAGTATACTTTGGTTGAAATGCTGTCTTTGAATACAAGTAAATATGTTTAAATTTCAAACCATTTTCATGTAACAATAGATTCAACATAATGTTAGTTTTACCACAATTGGAAGGACCGCATACTATGCACCGGATTGTGTTTGGTAACAGCGAACTATGTTTTACTTTTTCTGAATAATTTTTTACTTTAATATTAGCTACTTCTAAAGTTTGAGTTTGTTTTACGAACTTCATCGTGAAGTGAGAGGGAGTTGAATGTTTTAGTATTTATATACTCGTCAATCAGAGGAATTGAAACTATGAACAAAACAAATGCGATAAGTATAATATAAATTCTTTATTTAAATTTAGTACAAGCGTATTTACAAATCTTAATCTTACAAATATTAAAAGTAAAAAACATACATTAAAAATAAAAAAAAATATATAAACATGAAAATAACGAAAAAGTAAAAATTCCTTATCGAATTACAAATATAATATACTTTACAGCAGGCAAATATCATTACGAATGTTAGTGAAAGATAAATTAAAAAATTGTTTTGTAATGCCCCCAAGGTAAGGTGTTGACTTTATTTACTAGTATCTGCCTTTTATCATCAGTATTGCTTAAAACCGTTTTATTAAGCTCTTGAGAGTAAAGTACGTGCTTGATTGATTTAATTAAATTCATTTTACATTTTAAATCTTTGACGTTGAATAATGAGTCTTTGTATTGTGATAAAGTAAGATTCTTAGTAACGCACTTAGAAACACCTTTAGCTTTATTGATTCGTGTTTTAATGCTGTTCAGGGAATAAAGTTTTGCTCTAAGACCTACAAATTCTCTAATCACATCACCCCCAAGTTCGTCTTTAAATAAGCCGGGGATTTTTGCATTCACCCTTTCTATGCAGTATGGATTATTTAAATCAAAGTTACTAGTATCAAATTCCGACAAATTATTTTTGATATCTCTGTAAACGTCCTCTGTGAATATCAAGTATAGGAGGCTATCAGTATCTGTATAACAAAGTTTTGCATTCTGATTATATATCTTTTTAATAAAATCGTAATGAAACTTGTATAGATGCTGTTTTGCGTATTCTAAAACTGAAAACCCAATGTAGATAGGTCTGTCGAGCACAATCTTTTCTGGAGTAAATTGAGCAGCTAGAAAATTTTCTGAGAACACTGAAATATTTTTTAGATTTGGGCGAGAAATAAGTGTTTCAGCATCAAGTCGCTTTTTTGTTAAATTATATTCATCTTTCCAAGTTGTGATCAATTTAACACTTACTTGTTTGCGTCTATTTTCAATAGTTTTACCGAAAATTGCATTATTCATGAGTTTAAAAAAGTCTTTTTCGAAAACGGACACAGCGGATTGCCGCAGATTTGTATTCAAATCTATGTATTTCTGTAAAAAATTTGACTGTTTAAAGCTCAGTATACGGTGAATATTTCTTAAAATTAAACCATTTCTCAACATTTCTTTCAAGTGAATGAAATGAACAACGTAGTTATATTTATCATATAAACTCGCAATCAATTTCGGAGACTTTCCTCCCGGGGGAATAAATTTCTCCGGAGCGAATGGCAAATCACTGTGCAAATTATGTAAGTTCTCAGGATACTCTAGATCCACTTCCAAAATAAACCCAGTGTCTCCATTTTCAGGTACTGTCAAAATATTAAACGTTTCAATTTCATATTTATTTAAAAATTTAAATTCAGAATAAGGCAAACTTTTAGTCATTGCATGTCCGTACAGATTGTTACAATCTAAATATATCAAATAAGATGACGGATTGAAATCATCAAATTCTGGTAAGTATTTATTATTGGCTTTAGCGTGTCGTAATGAACACTGAACCAATCCTCCGCGTATTCCTTTTTCTAACATTTGATACATTTCCAAATCATCTATCAAATCTAGTTCAATGCCTGTCGAAAGCAGCATAGCATCCCAACTC